CCTGCTGAATAACATTTTCATATGTCCAGCTAGGCTTTCTCAGTGAAAGCCATTGAGATTAATACATGATTATTGAGTTCTGAGGTGCAGACAACCAACTTGTAATTGGTTTTTATGAGTATGCAGGCAGTGCTGAAAGCTTTGTCTTTCTGATATTGTAACATTAAATTTTCAGTTTCTAAATCAAACTGCAGTATGTGCAGTCCTGTGCTATGTCATTGTAACAATACGTCTCTTACCATAGATGCTTTTCATGGACTGTTTCTGAATTCCAAAGTCGTGTAAAAAGATGGGTGTTTGGGTTGGTTGTTTTTTGGTTTTGGAGGGTTTTTTAGGGCAAAATCTGCCCCAAAACCTATCCTTAAGTTGGTCGAATTTCATTAATTTAAAAATTAATGCAGTTGCTATTACTTTCCAAATAAGCTAACACCAGAGATAGAAGACTAAAATAATACTTCTTAGACACTGTTAGCTGAATGAGTGTAAATCTTAAGAAAGAGAATTTGGCTCATTAATGCATTCTTTGTTTGAAATTGCAATTGGAATTTTGTAAGCTAACTGCAGCCGTTAGGACATTCCCGTTTTGTCAGGTTGACCTTGCATTGTTCCTAAAGGAGCAGAAGCATTTATTTTAAAGTGAAGCTAATTTGTGTGGTTTTGTTCTAAAAAAGCAAGATCAAGGCTGAATTATCTGGTACAGAGAAAACCATGGTAGTTCATTTTATGGTATGAGTTGCATTTTACAGTTTATGTGAACATACCTTAGAAACATTTGGGTCTAATGTTCAAGTTACTGTTTGATGCTGCTGTTATTGTCACTGTCTACATAAGCAGAAACCATGTCAATTCAGTTTGGCATGGTTGAATAGAGAATGGTATTTTCATTAGGAGGTCTTCACAGGATACTTGACTGTGCCAATCATGCTTACCTTAGTGCTATTGGTAGCAACATTAAGCTGCTTCTGGTGTTTTAAGCAGAGGTGTTTTTCACTGCCTTTGTATCTCATGAGGCATGATACTCTTGCAGAGGAATGCTTTTTTTCTTGCTTTCAGAGATTAGAATTCGTTTTATTTTCTTAGGCTTAGTCTTTGGGTCTCTGTATCAGGAATACGTTAAAAAATGGGGAGCATGGTAATCCTAGGAGCTGGATTTACTGCCAGTATATGATCCTGCCAAGGCCTGTGGGTGTTCTTCCAGCCATGAAAGGGCAGATTGCTATTCATATGTAAATGATTCTTATCTAAATCCATTTACAGCAGTTAAAATAGCCTCTTTTGAAATCGGTTGATATTTTAGCTCCTCAGATTGTAAAGGAGAGCTGCTTGAGCCCCAGGCTGCTGCCTTTCATATGATCCTAAAAGTTGACTAATGCAACTTTAGCAGTACTTGAGGTTAGGTTTACAGGAAGGTGCCAGTGTAAATGAATACCCATGAAAGCATAGAAGTATGATGATTGCTAAGCAGCAATAAATACTTCAGCATATCTTTTAAATGAGAAGACTAAACAAATGTATGTAGTTGCCATAGATATTTTTGTGAAAATGATTTCAGAGGTGCAGTATGTAGCCTAATTCAAATGTATGCAAATGACAGGACAGCAGCTGTTTTAAAAGCTGGCAAAATATCAAAGATATGATAATATATTTGAAATTAGTTTTAAAACTTTGGGAGTATTTTAAGAACACTGATATAAAATAGCGGTTAGGAACAGCTGTTGAGGAAATTTAATTTAATAAATACTTGGTAGCTAAATGAGTTCCACAGCTTAATAAAGAGACTTAATCTGTTTGTACTGAATTTTAGGAGACATTTTGGCCTAGGAGTCTCTTCAGTGAGACTGATGGGGCTGAATGTCTCATTGGACCTTCAGTTTGAAGACTTCCTTAAAGCTCGCTTTATGAACCTTTTTATCTAGGATCTTGTTGCTTTAACTCTTGGTACTTGTATTTTCCTTGCCATCCTCTCTTTTATCACTTACTGAGCAAGTAACCTCCTGTGCTGTAGTTTGTCATTTCAATTATGAGGTTAAGTAGGAACTTTTAATCTTCAAGATGGACCAGTTGACTTTGATCTAGTGTTTTAATTTTGATTTTATCTTAAGTTTCCATTGGGCTTTTGGAATCGTCGTGTGTTTTGTAAGTGCTTTCTATATTTGTCTTCAAGAATAAAGCTATAGAATAAAAGACTGTTGTTTTTTTTTAGTGATCTGATTAACTAATTTATATTCTTTAATTAACTGCAAATTTCCTTGGCTTGTGGTCTATAATTTTGGATTTACTTTTGAAGCTCATATTTATGTTGGTTTGTTTTGGCAGCTTCTAATACCTTTTTAATCTCTGTGTTGCTGGCATTCTTTGATTCGTATAATGGGTGACCCTGTAAAGATGTAGAGAGTTTCAAGGCTAGTTTTTCTGAGGAGGTGGTGTACCTTAGGTTTTCCAAGACTTAGATGCAAATACATGGCTTACTCTTTTGGTTTTTTGTTCAAAATGTTTGGGTTTTGGTGAGCATAGATGTAATAAAGGAGTTGATTTTTGTACAGTGTTTTATGTCATAGTCAAAAACGTGAAAGCAAGATCCAACTGACGTGCGGAAAGCAGACTCCACAATCTGTAAGATTGTAGAGTAGGTATGTTTATTCAGCACCGGGCAGCACAAGGGTCGTCCCACAAAGCCGTGTGCGCCTGGCATAACAACTTGCTTCAACTTTATACAGTTAACTGTTACATATTCATAAGGTTTCCTATTGCACCTGTACATATGTATGACCTATCCCCACTTCGTATTAAAATTAGGGGTTTTCCCTCTTGCACCTGTGCAGTGTCTCCTGGTGGTGTTCTTCAGGAGTTGTGGGGGATGAAGGCCATAGATCTTCCTCAACATGCACTTTTCACCCCTTGGCTTTGCACATGCTCAAAGCTCTCCTGTGTTCTCTCCACACTGCAAGACCAGCTTCAGCCGGTTTACCAGGGATCAGTTCCCGCCAAAAACAACCCCCATCCATTTTCCCGCCAGTTCCAGGACTGCCCCCTGCAACAAGTCACAGCCCCATGAGATTACCTAGCCTACAATTCTCCATCTCACAACAAAGTATTTTGGAACTGCTTTATCTTAAAATCATTATCCAGCCCTAACATTTCATAAAGACTTCTAGTTTTTCCTGTTCATACAGCTCTGTTCTTGCCATTTTCCTTGCTCCTGGCCCAGTGAAAGTACAAGTTACCAAAGCAGCTTCTCTCAGCATTCTGTATTAATTTACGTGTTTATTTGAAAGTCTCATGGGGTTTTAATGGACTGCAGACACATTTGCTTCTAAGAAATGATGTAAGGTGGGTCAGAAAAAATCTAGGAATAGATAATTATGAAGTGCTCAAGGTCTGTATTGTAAGATGCATTGAGGTACATCTTAAAATTCTGAAAATTTTAAATTATTTGCTGGTTACATACCTGCACGTGCAGGTATGTCTGACAGGACAATTTAATATGCATGTTTGCAGCTACCTCTATGAAAGCTTAATATTTTATTTTCTATTAAAAGTGGTAGTACTTTGAGGAGAGAGAATTGTGTAGAGTCTGTTTAAACCCAGGAAGTTAAGCAATACTTTTTACACCTAAAAAAGAGGAGCAGAGGAAGGAACACCTACTTTTTACTAGAACAGGAAGATGAAATAAAGTAGTATTGATTTAAAGTTTCAGCAGATGTGAAGTTTTATAGCTTGTCTATTCATAGTCAGTTATCACCAGCACTTGAAATTAACAGATCTTTGATCATGAGAAGTTGAATGTCCTCAGCAGTGCTTATCTAAGCAATTAGGTCACCAAAGTGACACAAACAAAATTAGTAACGTTTGCTTCAGTGGGCTTTTGTTTTAAGTCTCCTTGCCTAAGGAATGAGGTAGTGAAAATGAAGCAGTCATTGCAGATGATTAAACCATCTGGCAGCTGTCAGTATCTTCATGTGAACAGCATACAGCTTTTGTGAAGAAACAATAACACAGAAAAAGAAGGCAGAGGAATAGCAAATGTGTTCAGAAAAGAGTAGTGGAATATCTGCCTTGTACTGTGTCTGCAATAGATCTCATTGTATTTTTAATTTCTGTTTCCTTTCTTTTTCTTGGTCTGCATTTGTAGTCACATTGTTTTAACATGTGCAGATGCCATTGTACTTCAGAACATTCCTTAATATTCTGTTTAATTTCTTAAAACAACTGTGTGCATGCAGCTGTGTCATTAAATATTTTGCAGTATTTATTCTCCTCATAAAAAAGAAATATGGAACATTGTGAGCTTATGGTATAGTTGTTTTTTATTCTTACAGGTTATTGCAAACTGTAACTAAAATAGTTTAAATATTATAAGCTGTAATAACCAAACTATGATAATAACCTGCCCCTAAAATGAGAGGAAAATAACTGTAAAAGTTCTTCATGTGCTTATGTTCTAAAAAAAAATAAAAAAATCTTCTAGTTCTAGCACAGCTGTTTTAAGTTGCTTTTTTCTCGTTTTCACAGGTGATAATGCATGTCGTGTTAATAATGGAGGCTGCAGCACTCTTTGTTTAGCTGTTCCTGGAGGCAGAGTTTGTGCCTGTGCTGATAATCAGGTTTTGGAGGAAAACAGTACAACCTGCAAGAGTAAGAATTTTAAAGAATACCTGAGTTGATACTACTGTTAAGGGATCAAGTCGAATCTGAAAATAAAACAAGAAAGTGCAGTCTCCTGAAGGCTTGTTGCGGTTCTGTAAGAGAAAGAAATACTCCTTGAATAAAGATTCTAATTGAAAAGTTTACTAAAAAATATTTTTCAAAGAAGACAAAATATTAACTACACAGTATTTGAGGATAAAACGCATTGGAAAATATTTCAGAATGTCTGATATGATAAAGCAGTTAATATTTCACCGTTCTCCTTTAAAGAATATCAGAAATACTAGAAATTTATCTATATAATTATATTAAATCTATATAAACTGGTTTCAGATTATAATATGGACTAAGTATCTTATATTGAAAGCTGGCATTGAAAATATTCATGCTGAAACTTCATAAAATGTCAAGCAGATATATTTTTGCATAATAGGTCGTAACACAGACTATGCAAATTTTGCAGTCTTTTGTGGGTTTTTTTTGTTTGTTTGTGGTGTTTTGTTTTGGTTTTTTTTTTCCTTTTATTTTGGTTGGTTGTTTTTGGGGGTTTTGTTTTGGTTTGGTTTGGTTTTTTTTTTGCATATCTTCCTTGGATATCTTCTTGGAAACACAACAAAAAAAAGTGTTGTTAATAAAATGTGGGGTTTTTGATTAAAAAGAAAATCTCAGATAATACAGGCATATTAAAATGTTTAGACTTGATATTTGTAACTTACTCAAAATTCTCCTTTTTCTTTTTCCTCATTAATCTATTTCTTCAAGTATAGTGTGTAAAACTGTGCATAGGTCTCCAGCAGTAAGCCTCATACAGATGAGTAAAGCATCAGGATTATTTCACAACAGGATGAACATTATTGAGCTTGCAGTTACCTTGAATTTGACCCAGATGCATGTCTGGCAGAGCCGTCACTGTTTCTTAAGAAAAATATTCTTCTTTTTAGCAGGAAGTACTGGAAAGTGGGCTTCTCACTAATAAGATGGAATGTAAGGATTAGGAAGAGAAGTTAGACAGACGCTTTCAGATCTGAAGGGAGCAGGATTCCTGCTTTTTCCTCAACACACTTCATTGCCCAGCTATTTCCAAGGACTTTTGTGTTCCTTATAGGGTCCTAGAGTGATGTGTGGTATTTACACATTAAACATTCTAAACCTTTTGTTGAGAAATTTATCTGTCTGGATTTATCAATAAGCTTGTAGCTTACTACTTAATTCTACCTCAGCAGAATCTTATCCTCTCTTCTTTGCTGAGTCTGTACCAGTACATAGTGCAGGTGTTTGAGTTGTTGCTTGGAAACAAGAATCAGCTTTTCAATAATCACTTTCTAGTCTTTTAGCATGCACCAGAATTTGGTCTGTGTCTGTAAGAATATTTTCACTGTTGATGAAGCATTGCAATATTTTAAACTGGTATTTTTATGCTATCACCTAGGCATCAATCTAAAAAAAAAAAACCAGTTTGAGTGCCATTCTGTTCAAAGCTTTTCTACTTACTAGAAGTGTATTACTTCAACCATACACTCAGATATGTGTGCTGCTACAGGCTTCAGAGGGAATTACCTTAAATATGCAAAGTTTACAAAAAAAAAACCTGTTCTGAAAAGTATTAACAGGAATCTATATCTATTTATGCAAAGGTAGTATTGCATTCTGTACGTATCAAGCTGATAAAATTAATGTGCTTCTTGGGTATTTTTCCTAGTTAAACATGGAGAAGTGCTACCACAGTTATGCAAAACTGAACAGTTTCAGTGCAACAATGAACGCTGTATCCAGGATCGCTGGCGCTGTGATGGGGATGATGACTGTCTGGATGGCAGTGATGAGCGTTCTGAAATTTGCTGTATGTATGCTCTTACGTTTTAACCCACAATTCATACTTTATTTTAACAATTGGAAACAAAATAATGTAAATCTGGGGGGAGTCAAACCAAAATGATAATTCTGAAGTAATTCATGTAAATGTTTCATTTTCTTCTTTTCCTGCATATTGTAATAGTACTCCACAGTCCTGGAAAATCTGCTATAATTGTTCCTTGCTGTTGAAATGAAAAATAATAGAAAATATCAATTACGCATCTCTGTCACTCCTGGAAGATACTTAGATAGCCTGCTATAAAATTAGAATTGCAGCAGTGAAAATTCCTTTCCTTGCTTAGTTTGCCACAATGCTTCCTATTTCTAACATTAGATCATTTCTCTAGATCACATCTGGTGTACTGAAATGAAAATACATCGTTTTTTTCCCTATCAGTTGTAGACATGAACTGATATGCTCTTCTAGTGTGCAGCATTGTTCTATGTGTCTGAAAACTCTTATGTCTCTCAGACTTGCCTCTTTGTCCTAAGCAACTCTAATTTTTATTTTATTTTTCTTTTCCAGTAGATTATATTGGTTTCATTGGATTTTGTTTGGGCTTGGGGTTTTTTTGGTGGGTTTTTTTTGGGTGGTGGGGGAGGGGTGTTTCAGTCATTGCTGTTCTCGGAACTTTGCCAAGTGATCTTAGGGGTTGGATGTCCAATACTGAATGTATTTACTTCTGCTGAGGCCTTTGTGAAGCTGTTTAGGTGGAGAGAATGTGCTTGTGAGGGTTGATAGTCCTTTTTAGACATCCGTGGGTAAATCTTCCCTGCTTCACACTGGCGTGGTGTTGCTGATACCTACTGAGCTGGTGATCGTGTGTAATACCTACATCTTTTTCTGTATGGCTGTTACGTAACCAGTTTGGGGATTTTTCCTTGCATTTATGTATTTTTGTAGCTCCATGTAGTAGTCTTTACTGATTTCAGTCCTAATCCTTTTCAAAACGTTTGCCCAGTTCTGAAATGTAGTACTTATTAACATTTTTATTTTGGTGTCAGGGGTTGTTACACTTAAATAAGGAGCTCAACTAATAATGACACTGACAAGAAAATCTTTTGGCAGGGTTGACTTGATTCTCATTTGAATTAATGTAATGTGAACCAATTCACTGATCAAAGCTTGTGTATAATTTCTCAGAGAATTTATATAGATACAAATTAAATTATAATCTGGTCCCAAATCTCTATGTGATATATAGTTTAAGTGGCCAGTATGATAAGATTAATCTCTTTTCAGCACTTGCTATAGTAACTTCAATAGTTCTTTTTTTTTTTTTTTAGGTAGAAATATTTGCAGTTATGAGTAGAATACACACATAATTAATATATGTAAGCAAAAGTTAAAGTACCATTTAAAACAATATCTATGTCTAGTATTAAAGTCAGATGTGAAGAAGTGTTAAATTTATAATTCTGTTACATGGATAAGTTTTATTCTACAGTCACATTGCCAACTAGGTTGTTTCGTAAGTATTATAAGACTTGGAACACCTTTCTGCTCAAATTATTAATCTTTGCTTCCATTGTTCTTGCACCCTCCACACAAAATACTCATGAAGGGTTCATGTGCTGTTGATACCACATTCACTCTCTGCTATTGTGAGTACGAAGAAAAGGTAGAAAGGTCAAAGATAAAAGCTACTGAAATGTCAAGGATAAACCTGCAAGACATCCTTTCATTTTAAATACTGTTTGTTTCCAGATACATCTTAAATTTTAAAAAAGAGACTGTGGATGGCCCAGTTGGTGGAAAATAATTTAAGATTATTTTCAACCCAGCACATTTGAAATTGTATAGTTTACTGCTCTTGTATAGATCAAGATTAGCAAGATCCACTAATAATAAATCTTGTTATTAGCATAAAAGAGGCAGAACATATGTACTTACTATAGCTGCAAGAGCAGGCCAGTAGTATTTACATAATTTCCATGCATTCAGTCTTCATCCTTTCCATGATGCTGGGCTAGTAAAAACACATTTGTGAGATACTTGGTCACTCCTGAATACCAGATTTTTCATCAGGTTTAAACGGTGTTGCATATTTCCCTTTCTGTCACGTACAATTTCGTGGTAAGTAAATAACAGATCTGTATATGGCCATTGACAGTAACGTGCATCATTTTAGAAGCATTTTATAACCCGTCCAAATCCCTGCTCGCTGTAGTATAATATTTTGGATATGCACAGAACTTGCACCTGTTCCTTCAATGTGTTGGGGTTTTTATATGCATTTCAGTTTGTAAACTTCATCACATTGATAAAATGGGATTGAGGATATTTTTCTTTAAATAAATAGCGACACTGTAAAATGCTGCTACCTTTTATCACTTAGCAGCTAGCAAAAGAGAATCTCCATGTTGATGCTAGTATGATAGGAGAATCTTTACTATGTATTGTTTAATTTTGAATTAAATACAGTAGTATTTTTAATTGACTGGTTTGCAACAGTTTTTATGTCATGGTGATCATGGTGACTGTATATACAGGGTAACCATACTAATTGCATCACCAGGGAATACCATTTAATGTATTATTTTCAGTGGGTTTTCTGTAATTATTTTTTCAGGGAAAAAAAACTTTTTTTTTTTTTTTCCTTCCCCAGTCAATCATAGTTGTCCTGACGATCATTTTAAGTGCCAAAATAATCGCTGCATTCCCAAGAGGTGGCTTTGTGATGGAGCTAATGATTGCGGTAATAATGAAGATGAATCCAGTAAAACCTGTTCAGGTAAAAATTTTACTTTTGAGAACTTCTGAAGTTCTCAAACTCCAGTTCCACAAACAGTTCAAGACTGCTCTGAACTGAACCAGTCTGCTACTAGTAATCTGATTATCGACATTTTAAATTAATTCACATTTTGATGCCACTGAGGCTGGAAATTAAATTGTATTTTCTTAATCTTTATTTTTGACTGTGATTGACAACATAATTCAGCACTTATTCTATCCGTATGGGTTGACTGTCAAAGCACTGCTTAGGTACAAAATTTTCCCTGCTAAATCTTTTTTTGGCAGTTAAAATTTTGTTTGTTAATATGCTGTGATGAGTGCCATGTCACTAGTAAATTTAATTTTATGCTGACCAAAGCATAACTAGTTAGTAATTTTCCCTTGGTATCTTGAAATTGTTTTCATTTCTAAGTTATTAACTGTTTAGTGGATTTTTAAGGAAATACCAAGATAAAAGATTGCTTGCTGGTTCCACTGCAGTAAATCATGGAGTTCCAAATCAGTCCATTGCTTGCATGGAAGTGGTGTTTAGTGCTTGTTGGTAGAGTACACTAAACAATCATTAAATACCTGCTGCACAAAATATATATTAATAAGCTGATGATTATTTTGAACTAAAATGCAGTGATAGACAGCATACAATGTGTATTAAAATATTCCCTGAACTCATTTTCCATGATTAAAATTTTCATGTATATAGTAACTAGTCTGGTTGTTTGTTGTACAAATTAGGTAAAAGGCACACTAGCAAAACCGCAGACCTATAGCGTCTATATAACCTCTCTGGTACTATTGTGGATTGTCATACAGCTTGATAACCCTTTGATATTCAACTGTTTTCTTGTAAGATAAGAGTTGGCTTTAAGACCATACTTTTTATCCCTATGTCAGTTGGCTATGGGTTGAATTCTGTATTCTTGTTTTTCTTTTTGTTCGTGCAGTGGCAAGCACTATTCATGTTTAAAAAAATACTTCTTCGAAATATTTGAAACTTGTATTCTTCTGTTGTATTTTACACTATTTCTATGAAGAAAAATGAAACTGGTAATCGATAATACCAAATGAACAAAAATTCTTTTGGTTATTGGGGTTTCTGATGTACCAGTCTTCTGGCATTGTAGTTAGGGGTTCACATTTTTAATACAAATTGTGAGTAATGTCAGCTTTATATGTTATTTTTATTAAAGTTCATCAGCTTTCAAAGTAATTTATGTAGTTACATACTATGGTTTCTTTTAGTGATCTTTATTTCTTCAGAAGACAGACGTAATTCCTTTTGATGGATCATTACAGTTTTGTATTTGCAAAAGCAGAGATTCTAAGAATGGTGAGGCCAGGCACATTATGATTCTTTTTCCATGTAAATAATAATTTTACTATATCATTGTTTATGAAATACAATTTGTTAATATCTCAATTGCTAGGTATTTTTATGCCCTGATGGTTGTTCACTTCAACTTTACAACTAATGGCATTTTAGCAAATATTACTACTTAGTTTTGTATAATTACATATAAAACTTCATGTTCTCATATGTTGGAGAAACCACTAAGAAATCTACCTAACATAGGTAGAATACAGTCCTGCAGGTGACCTCATTTTTCTCTGAAATCAAAGGAGGTGAATTATGTTTAGTCAGATCAGGTAAAGCATGCAGCAGGCCAAGAGATGTCCTCCAGACTTGCAGCTTCCATGTACAGACACACAACTTCTACATACAGAGCCCTAACAGATTGAGTCCATTTCCCTTGTATTTTTTGAGTGTTTTTTCTTGACAGCAAGAACGTGTCAGGTTGATCAATTTTCGTGTGGGAATGGACGCTGTATTCCAATGTCATGGCTGTGTGACAGGGAGGATGACTGTGGAGATGAAACTGATGAAATGACATCCTGTGGTAAGTGAGGTTTGGTTTGGTGTTTTGTTTTGGGTTTTTGTTTGTTTGTTTGTTTTTTTCAGGGAAAGAAGTAAAATGATTCTATAAAAAAGTTAAACATATAAGGATCTCACATGAATTGTCAGATATTAAAAATATGAAGAGCCTTTTTGGTTTTGTATGAGCTGATAATATTTTTTCTGAAATGGCAAATACAATTTATTTGATTAATAAATAAACCCAAACCAAAGGCTGCATTTTATATTAATAAGTTTTTAACTACAATGCCAAATATGCAGCACAATATCTTAACACTTTTCTAATTTACAGCCCCTATCAAATACTGTCACCCTCAAAAAATGACCTGTAACTCAGCCACATACCACATGATGTGGGCTCCTGCACGTATTCTGGATGTCAATAAAGTCAGACTGTTTTAAGTCTGAACAGAAGGTTATTTTGGCATATTTTTCAGAAAAAAGTAGTCTTCATTTTTTATAAACATGAGAGAGTATCAGCAGCTCTGCTAACTGCTGCTTTACTGAGATACTGCAGGAAGAGGTGTGTTCTCTGTAATTGGCGGCTTCCAAACAATTAAGGTTTTTGTAAGTCAGCATGACTGCCTTCCTCTGTTTGACAGCTCGCAGGTAAGTGCTGCGAGTCTGAGAGCAAAAGGGTCAACGAGTTGTCTGCAAAATACTGTATCATGGTGTGTTCCCTGTTTACAACTTTTTTTTATGTAAATACATATATTGAAGATATAGTCTGTATCAGTCATCAAGCTATAGTAACTAGTCATAAATATTAGCATGCTTAGTGGCAAAGACAGCCCTGGTCCGATGGGAATGTAGGTTCATATTATATGACAAAGAATAAGGCATTTCAGTGGTCTGTATTGAAGAAGGATAACATTTGGAGTAGTATTTACAGTTAAAAGCTTTTTTATCCTCTCCTTTTGGTGTTACACATTTTTTTTTTCTCTCTAGATAAGTATGTCAGGTGAAAATGTTTCATACAATACACTTGTGTAATTTATGCATGTAGTAAGGTGGAAGAATATTACTGAATAGGATATACATTAAATAGTTTTTGTTTCTTTTTGAACACTTCCGCAGAATTCCCAACGTGTGAGCCACTAACTCAATTTATATGCAGAAATGGAAGATGCATTAGCAGGAAATGGCTCTGTGATTCAGGCAAGTATCAAGTGTTCTATATCTGCAATGGATATGGTAGATCTTGCATAAATATTGCGTTGATACCCACTCTTTTCTTCTGAGGCTGATATTGCCAGTTTGGTTTGTGAGTGGTCAGAGAATAAATACAGTATTTTTAAATTACTGACCTGACCTAGAAAGCAGCAATATTGAAGCTTTATAGAAGGAATGATGCAGAGGATGATATGGTAATAATTGCAAACAGTATATTCTGTAGAATGAAGTGTGATTGAAACTTTCATTGTTGGGGAAAAAAAAAAAAAGAAAAGCTAAACTTTTGCTTATGAAAGCATTTTCTATTTTTAGAAAACAAAATAGTTCCAGTGACCAAAGTATCTGATTTTTTTGTTGTTGTTGTTTATGGGTAAGTTCAATTTAACAAACAGCGTAAATCAAGAGGGATGGCTAGGACGATGTAGTTCTTTTGTCTGAAAGAGTACATATTTGAATGACAGCTGTTAAAATGAACCTTCTCTCACAGCTTGTGATGGGGGAGTGGTGTCATGCCAGTCTTAATAACATTGGGTTGGTTCTTCATCCACCATAGCATTTATTGTTACTATGATTTTATGTGGCTGACAGGAATTCATAGCTGGAAGTGGACAGATTCCCCAAATTATCACAGTGTGCTTGCTCAAATTCTCTGCAAGGAGACCCTCTAGCGTCAGCCTGACATATTTATCTTTCCCTGTTTTGGCAATCACAATCAAATTACAGGAATTGCCTTTAAGATTTTTGTAATGACTACAACATTAGAGTAATTAGGAACTACATTCCAGCATTATTTATGTGCTGCCATCTTTCTTCACCTTGCACTGTTCCAAGTACATGGAAATAAAGTTTGCAATAGTATTGAAAAGAAGTTCTGACATCAGGTTTTCATTTATGTTTATATGAAGTGCTTTGTGAGTGTGATTAACTGTCTAAGTTAATGAATCACTGAGAATACTGTATGGAAGCCTGGGTAGTTAGACGTGAGTAAAGAAATTAAGAAAATTCACAGCCTTCTCGTGCTTGCTGGTGTCTGTGACTGAATAACTGTGAGGAAGTGTAAGAGGTTAGATTATCCAAAGTGGCAGAGTCATGTGCTGTTTGTGGATTAAAGAATTACTCACATTAGAAATAATTTTACCCTATGTTTGCAGGCAGTAAGCATGCTATTTTATTTACTGGATGTTATTTTTATTCTTGCCTTCTCAAAAATATTTGTTTCTCCTCATATCTTTTATTCAGATTTTTTTTTATCTTACTATATTATTTAAAATAAAAAATATTTGCAGATGACGACTGTGGTGATGGAAGTGATGAACTAGGCTGTATTCACTCATGTTCTGCTGATCAACTCAGATGTTATAATGGTAGATGTATTCCAAGTCATTGGGCATGTGATGGTGACAATGACTGTGGAGATTTCAGTGATGAAACCAAAATAAACTGCAGCAAGGAAGGTTAGTTGCTTTTCCTCTTCTTACATTTTAATACATACAAGCACAGAGAATACTTTATTATAACTACAGAGGACCCATCTTCAGTCAATGAAAAAAGAGGATGGGCTTACAGCACCAGGAAAACTTTATCAGCCTTGGTCCTCCTTACATCTCTAAATTCATTCTTGTCTGACAGCAGTGCAAAAAAAAAAATAAATTGGTATTTACACTGAGTTTGTGGTGGATGGCAGAGTGAAGGGAATGAGCAGGATAAGAAAGAGCTCATCTTGGAGCTTGCATTAGAGTGATGAGTTAAGAAGGAGTAGTGAGTTTTGAGTATTATGCTTGGGTACTTTTGATTTTGTCTTTGGTTAAGAAGGGGGATTCTAAGTCATTGTAGGCTTGGCATGGAAGAAACTCATATGAGCAAATTCTTCGGTGTAATTCTTGTTTTTCTAAGAAACTCCCTCTCCTGGAAGATGCAGTGGGAAGGAGTTTCAATGCAGTCCTGATGGGAACTGTGTTCCTGAGTTGTGGCGCTGTGATGGAGAGAAGGACTGTGAAGATGGTAGTGATGAAAAAGGCTGTAATGGAACTATACGACTGTGTGATGAAAAAACGAAGTTCTCCTGCAAGAGTACAGGTATAAGCTTGCATGTATGTTTTGCAGTCATTCACTCATTATGTGTGCATCTGTCTGTGTGAATGCTATTTGAATACTGCTTAATACTACTGAGGTGATGTTACCTATTGTGCTAATACCAGAAAAATACTGTTAATATACTACTTCTAACCTATCTAATATTTTACGATATAAAATGGATGGGGTGTGAGATTACTTAAAGCGGAAACTGTTCTGTATGATATTACGTCAGGACAAATACTTAAATTTAGCGTTCACGGGTACTGAAAAGTCCAAGTATTTTCTTCTATTTTCCAACTTTGGATCCAGAAATAAGTTGATTTAAATGGTATAAAGTAATTAGCTAGAAGACTTCAAAGAATTAGAACTACAGCACTGGAAATTACAACCTTAGTATTGAAAGAAAAATACATTCTGTGAGTGTGTTTAAAATAAAATTTTGCTAAGTGTACTGCATTGAAAGATGTGAAAAGAATGTGACAATCTTGTATGAGAATATTTTGCAAAATAATGGTTTGATGGAACATTTTCTGAAGGGACAGTCCAGTTAGGAAAAAATTAATGCATGTCAGCAATGTAGTCATCTTTTAATAGTTTCTTTCAAAGCTTAATTAAGTATTAGGGATAAAATAGCTTTCAAAGCAAAATTTAATTCAAAAATGTAATAAGCAGCACTGTTGTTGTCATTACACAACTGTAATTATTACAGGAGAGAAGAACCCATTCTAATGCCTGTATTACATATAAGCATGATAGATATTCCAGTCTGGTTATGTGAGCTCTGTCCAAAAGTATTTGTGAACATGTGTGGATACAGTTAAGATGCTTTATTCAAATCTACAGCATGAGCAGAATTAATTTTTAATATGTGAATTACTTTGGGAGGTGTCAGAAAAGCTTGGAGGTTTGCTGCTACTTGGGTTTTTAAATTCTAGAAATCATAATGTGTGGGTAAATAAATATGGAATACTGAATCTTGTCTAAATAAAACACTTACTTTTGTGTTCTTACAGTTTCCATAAAGATGGATAGAACAAGAAGCAGTTAAATGAAACAGCTTAAATAAGTAAAAAGATTATTCACTTTTAATAGGTTTGTTTCCTGAAATAGGCTGATAGGAACCCTGACACAGGAAATACACTTTTTGCCTGTTACTGTGTCTTTCGTGGTGCTTAAATGGGGAACAAGTCTCAAACTACATTGCCTCATTACACACCTACCTATGTTTAGTTGTGCACAAGGACAGCAATACCTCAATCATTTTATCGGAAGAAGCATGAAATGTGACTTTTCTGGCTGCCACATATAAATACAGCAAAAAAGTTCTTGTCATCAAGCATTTGCTAAATTCAAGGGTATATGGCATTGATTGAGAGGAAGATGCAATTATGCTTATTGGTTGTGTGAAAACATCACTTTAGAAATCAGTTGTAATAGTTTAATCCATTTTTTTTTTTTCTTTCACTATTTTTCTTCCATCAGTCCGGGAAAGAGCAAAATCACTATTCTGGAACAGGCATGTTGGTAATGCATTGGAAGACAAAACAGCAAAAGCAAACTTTTGTTTATCTACTTTTCAGTAGCATTCATATAGTAGGATAAAGAAGTAATAATTGTTTTCTGAGAAACATTTTCTGTCATGATCCTTTCAGGTTTCAGAATGCACATAATTTTCTCTGTGGATTATTTAAAGAAACAATACTGTCTGGCTTCCACACTTACGGGAATTGTTCATGTGAGGAGAAGGGAGAAATTGGCTAATTCTTCGATTATAGACTGCTTAGTGGTGGTATCTAATTTCCTAATAGAGAATATGATGGGTCTGGGTAGAAATGTGTGTATGGGGGGAGATAGAAGAGCCAATACATTTTGAGGGCAGTGACAGTTGGTGAGAACAGCAATAGTGAATGTTACTGCCCTCTTTTTTGCTTACTTTTTTTTTTTTTTTCTTACTTTTTTTTTTTTTTTTTTTTTTTTTTTTTTTTTATTTTTTTTTTTTTTTTTTTTTTCCTGTTTATGGCTGTAAATAGCAGCTGCAGGGTCTTTTCCGTCACAGTGCCACAGGCATGAGTATGATATTGCAATTTCAGCATTTGTCAGCCTTCAGCCAAAGATTTATCTGCTTTAGATTAATGGTGGTCTTGAGAACCCATCATATCTAGCCCCTTTTCTGGTATGCGTTTACGAATATCCAACAGAGGATATTTTATAACTTATATAGATAGCCTTCTAGTAACTTGCCTCTAATAGTTGAACATTTTTTCCTAATAAGTCATCTGAATCTTTACTGCAAGCTGTTGATTCTCTTCATCTTTTCACTGGTATAAAAATATTTTGAATATGAAAGATTTCTGTCATGTGTCTCCTTAACCACATTATTTATTGAATAAACAAATACTTTTTTTTTCCACTTGCGTATCTTCTGGGTTTTTTTGAACATGTAATATTTATGTTGGTCTCACTGGAGCTTTCTGACCTGTGCAGTTCTTGAGCTGTGGTGTCCTAAGTCAGCCAAAATGCTGCAGGGCACTTGAGTGAACAGATTTCAGAGCGACATTTCTAATTTTTCCAAGAACATTGCATGGTTGTTTGTGGTGAAGTGTGATGAAAAATATAGTAGAGTTTCCACAGCAGTAGAATATGAGATGCAACAAATATCTGAGTGAGACTGGCTACTGTTGGGCTGCTTCTAGCCAGTTATTTTCTACTTTTAAATTAGATTAGAATTCTTTTAAATTAGGCTAGACTTAATTAGATTAGACCAAGATCCAACTTCCTATTTCAAATCCTGATTCTGTCCTCCAAAAATTATTATAGGCTGAGTTTTATGTACTACATAAATCTATCCTTTTTATTATATCTCTCTATTTTGAAGTTTGTATTACTGGACCAGGAACAGAACCTGTGCAGTCTCAGAAAGTTATCTAATTATTCTAATGTTAATAATCAAGTTCATTTTAAAGATAAATGCAAGAGCCATGTATACTTCAGTTTAGTAAACAGTAAATCTGAACTGTAATGTGTATTTGTCATACTTGCTGCTTTTTTGTATCTATTTCAAGAAGCAGTTAATTTTGTATCTATCTTACCATTTTTATTGCTACCCTGAGGGCTATTATTTTATCCTTTTTTCCTCACATGTTCTTATGTGTTAATAACATACTGGATTGAGCGGTGGGGATGAGGAGGGAAGAAGTAAGATTTCTTTGGAGTGGATCATAAGGAATGTACATAGACAGGAAGTCAAAGGATGGGTGATCACAGTGATACTGGAAGAGGAGAGCAACAGCAATTGTACTGGATGGATGGGAGTGTAAGAGTCAAGATACAAGTATGTGACAATTAGAGAAGGCTGGAGAAGTTGATACTGAGAAAGATGATGATGAAGAAATTGGTAGGGCTGCCCTACAGATTCTGTGGGGGTTCCTGAGGAGGAGAGGGTTACTGTGGAGAGATATGGCATGAGAGTTTTTTTTAAAGAGGAGAAGATTTAGTAAGAACATCAGAATGGATACATAGAGGCGTTCTAAGAATGGAAAGCGTATTGCTCAGAAGGTGTGTTTACTAGTGTTGCTTCCGCTTGTTCCCTGCCTGCTCTGCCTCCTCTCTCACCATTAGATCTTTAGAGCTGCATATCTTATGCAACTACTTTAGTAACCCTTTTGGACATAATGATGGTTCAGAATGATGAAATTTCTAACTTGAGTGGTGGATTTAATTGACGCTAAAAATGTAAATAGAAACCACCATAGCAAGTAAACTAGAAAACTATACATGTTGCTACAGTACTGGTTTTATTCTCAGTTCATAGTGCTGTTGTTTTCTGTGGTAACAGCTGTCCTTGTTTAGGCCCTGAATTTTTTTCTTCTGTCTCATCCAAGAGACATGTATAAACATCTGCTGTCTCCTAATAGCTTTTAAAACACAGAAATTACCATCTTCTTGAAACGATGTAGTTGAGTCTAAGTCTCAGGTGTGTTCTACAGGACAAGCAAGATTATCAATTTATAACCACAACGTTTGGTTAAATGTGTCAGAACATTGTTTCATTTTGATGGGAATGAGGTTGAGTCCATTCTGTAAGTTAGGAAGGCGACACAGCTGTAGGCAGCAAGAATTAACAGTAAGAGGAAGCTGAATGCAATTACACTCCATCAAAGTAGTTTTCCTACAGTAAAATACATAATCAGTTGAAAAACTTCCTGGGCTCAGTATCTCAACAAAGACTGACCAGTATATAAAAAGTTAATTCTGTCATACTTGCTAATATTTGTAGGAAATAAAAAATGTTGGAAAAGCATTTTGATCTGGCTTTCCCAAGTACTACTTACTTCAGAAATTTTGATTCACTACTTTACATATATTTTTGTGTTACACAAAAAAGCCGTGGAAAAGAACAGATATATCCATTGAGACAGTTAATATATGATGGAATTTTACTAAAAATGTTCCTGGAAACCAAAAACGTAAATTTCAATAACAGTCAATAAAGCAAAAATACTTCAGTGGGTTTTAAGGAATTATTTCAAGACAGTCATAATACTTCATTAAGCCCATCTCTTTAGAATTTTGGCAAAGATTATTTCCTTGAATATATATTCTACTTAAGAACATGTCACAGCTATTGTAGTGGAAGATTAATCTTTCATTATAAAATATATCTTCATTAAAGTAAGAGGCAGTAAAACTGATTTGCTCTGTAAACATTTGTATGTATAAAAGATTAAAAAACAGATTAGGAGCTCTACTGGAAGCAATGGCAATTTACTTTGAGATCTGGTTAGTTTGCTTGATGCTGGTATTTTCCATTAGCTTTCATTCTACTGCTGTGTTATAATAATATATAAAAATCAATTATCATTTCAAGGTAATAAAGAATATAGACACTTTTTTTAAATGCTTGTGGTTGCATGTAAGGATAAACCACGTATATAGCATGCATACAACTTTGTTTCCTTGTGTCTGTGCAATTCTGGTTTTTCATTGTAGGATATTTGGGACTTTGGCGACTATAAAAAATGGTGAAAGCTTTTCATGCTAATTGACACCACTTCCTGTTTAAGTTTTCCAGGTGACTGCACTGGCAAAATGATATTGTGTTGCTTGAAACCACACTCTGTAGTTTGTATTTTGCCCTGTTGTCACTGTTTGAGGACATTAGCACCCTTCCCATTAAAAGATGACTAAAATATAAAATGAAAAGTTTTATGTTAATCTCAACCAAATATTTCCTTTAACGGAAACTGAAATCTACTACTATATTATGGCAGATAGTAGGGACAGTCGCTACATTGTGTGTACAGCAGTATAGAATCCATTTTGAGGTGGTTTTATATTGAACCGTGTCACAGCCAGTACAGGGTAAAAGACTGCCTGTAGCAGACTTGATGCTGGGCTGCATTAAAGAGGCAGCAATATTAGCATTTGATTATTTTACACAATGACTCACTTGCTTCCCCCACAAAGTCGTGATCAGTCTCAGCTTCCTATTTGGAGGATTGTTGCTAAACTGGGAAGGGTGAGCTGAAAGTCATGGCAGTTCATGCTGTGCAACAGGTTGCACTTACCAGTCTTAGGCACCATCAGTCAGTCCCTGGGCATTCACCAGCATTGTTGTCAATGGATCTAGACATTTCCAGGATCTTCTTTTCCATTCCAGACTGATTTTTCTGTACCTAAATAGTTTATAGGCAGAAACACAGTGCAAGCTCAGCTTCCTAACTTGTGGTCCTTCGTGTTGTCTCTTTATTAGTCAGAGAATGAAGTACATGCCACTTCAGTCTACGTGTTACCAAAACTTATAACTAGCCCATACTGGTTGTAGCTAGCAAGTAACAAGTTTATGCTTGAGAGCTGAAAACCAGTTTGGGACAGGAGCACTCACAGATGCACACCTGGAAGTGGTAGCATTCGCAGTCTCAGTTACTTTTCACTGAATAAAATCCCTGGGTTTGGGTGATGCTAATCCAATACCTGTATGTTTTTTAAAGATCAACCCCCCTTTCCTAATCAAGAGGCTGCCTCTAGACATTGATGGTCAGCAGAAAAGTTCTCCCTCCCCCCACCTTTGGAGGAGTGAAAGAAATGATCTGAACCCTGATTTGATAAAACTGAAATCATCAAGGAAGTTTCATCTGCTGTAGTTTATTTATCTGAAAGATGATCATTTACCTGACATCATCTGGGAATGTATTGTGTATACTTTCTGGAAAGATTTTGTTTCTGAAACCCGTGCTAATAGACTTACATTGAAATGTAGCTCCTATGGCAGGCTCTTGGACTAGAAGATAGGGGAAGAGAGATGAAGAGAAGCAGAATTAAAAAGAAACACAATGTAAAGCTTTTTATTATAATTTGTAATATTTAACAGATTAGGAGGCTGTGTCCTGCCTGTATACAGTTATATTCAGCATAGAATAGCTAGGATTGATGTTGTTTGGAGAATTACTGTCAACATTGATTTGGATGATGCTTCAGAGTGTAAGTAAAAGTTCTTCTTCTTTCTCTTCATCTAAGAGGAAAGTGCTATTAATAGAAAGCATAATAAAACCAAATATCTGTGTAATGCTACTGAAGTTTTTGTTGGGTTTTTTTTTTTTTTTTTCCTAAAGTTTGCTTTCGGTCTGATTTCCTGTGTTTATTGTCTCTTTTCTCCAAGGGAGATGCATTAGCAAAGCATGGCTATGCGATGGCGATATTGATTGTGAGGATCAGTCTGATGAGGATAATTGCGAGGGCTATATGTGTGGACCACCAAAATACCCTTGTGCTAATGATACCTCCATCTGCCTACAGCCTGAGAAGCTCTGCAATGGGAGAAGAGATTGTCCTGATGGATCTGATGAAGGCGATCTTTGTGGTACTTTTTTTAGACACATTTTCCTGATATTGTTTGTCATAATATTTTTTACCTAAAAAACAGATGTCATGTCTATCTTCATGAAATGTTATTATAGTAGTTTACAGGATGATTCTTTACTTCAGTCAAACTGGGTTTGTGCTTGAAGTATTAGTTTTCTTCAAGTAAGGGAAAACATAGTTCTAAGGTAATTCCTTAATTTCCTAACCCCTTAAAATACTCCTGGAGAAAAACAATTTAAAAGGCTCTGCTATATACGAAAGGATAAGCTAATTTGCAGCTCTGTCTAACTACAAAAGCTTGAGTTCTCCTTTTGATGCAGCTCAGTATACAGCTGGCTTTCTGGGCTGTATGCACACACCACACTGCTGGCTCATGTTCAGTTTCTCTTCATTCAATACCCCCAAGTCCTCCTTTTTAGGACTGCTCTCAATCTACTCCCTTCCCAGCCTGTATCTGTGCTTAAGACTGCCCTGACCCACGTGCAGGACCTTAACACTTGGCCTTGTTGAACTTCCTGAGGTTTGCACGGGCCTATCCTCTAGATGGCATCCCCTCTCTAGTGTGTCAAATGCACCACACAAACTGGTGTCATCAGAAAGCTTGCTGAGGATGCACTCAATCCCACTGTCCATGTCAGTGACAAAGATGTTAAATGGCGCTAATCTCAATACTGACCCCTGAGGAATGCCACTCATCACAGGTCTCCACTTGAACATTTTGCTGTTGACCACAGCTGTTCAGCACAACCATCCAGGCAATTCTTTATCCACTGAGTGGTCTATCCATCAAATCTGTATTTCTCCTTTTTAAGACAAGGATGTCATGCTGGACAGTGTCAAATGCTTAGCACAAGTCCAGGTAGATGGCATCAGTTGCTCTTTCCTGATTCACCAGTGCTGTGGATTGGTGGATGTCAGTGCTGTAACCCCGCCGTAGGAGGTCACCAGATTTGCCAGACATGATTCACCCTTAGTGAAGCTGTGTTGGCTGTTACCTATGTCACCTATGATCTCCTTATTTTCCATGTGCCTTAGCACATTTTCCAAGAGGATCTGCTCCATGATCTTGCTGGGCACTGAGGTGAGACTGACTAGCCTGTAGTTACCTGGGTCTTCCTTTCTCCCCTTTTTAAAAATGGGGTTTATTTTTCCCCTTTTCCAGTTACTGGGAACTTTTTCAGACTGCCACAACTCCTCGAGTATGATAGCTGGTGGCTTAGCTCCTTCAGCTGCCAGTTACCTCATCCCACAGATGCATCTCATCAGGTTCCATGGACTTGTGCACCTTCAGGTTCCTGAGATGGTCTTGAATTTGATCTTCACCTACAGTGGGCAGTACATTCTCCTAGTCCCTGCCTTTGCCTTCTGTGACTTGGGCAATGTGGCTGGAGCTCTTGCCATTGAAGACCGATGCAAAAAAGTCATTGAGTACCTCATCATTCTCCATGTCCCAGGTAACCAGGTCTCCCATTTCCTTCTGGAGAGGGCCTGCATTTTCCCTAGTTTTCGTTCTATCACTGATGTACCTATGGAAGCTTTTCTTGTTGCCCTTGACATCTCTGGTCAGCTTTTATTCTGTGAGGGCTTTAGCTTTACAAACCTGATCCCTGGTGCTTGGACAATTTCTTTGTATTCCTCCCAGGCTGCCTGTCCTTGCTTCCACCCTCTTTAGGCTTCCTTTTTGTGTTTGAATTTGTCCAGGAGCTTCTTGTTCATCCATGCAAGCCTCCTGGCCTTTTTGCCTGACTTCCTCTTTATTGGGATGCAGCATTCCTGAGCTTGGAGGAGGTGATCCTTGAACATTAGCCAGCTTTAGCAAAAATTTTGGTGATTTTATAATTTTTTTTTTAATTATTATATCAACAGTTTGCCTCTCCCCACTGACCTTGCTTTGCATAAGATGTTTTCCAATCTCCAGCATTCCGTTGCAAAGCATTTGGAGATACTTACAAGCATTTTCACCCTGTACGATCTATCATTCCTAGGATATCCTGCACTAGGCTAAGCACAGTTGCTTAGCATAGGAAGCAGAGTTCACCTCTGGGTGCAGGGTATGTCAGAGGGATCTTCACACTGTCCTGTTCTGCTGATCTCTAGACTGCGCTGCAAGAGAGGACCTGAAATTCAGTGCTCCTCTGGAATACATTTTATTGTAGACCTAAATCCTCTGAGAGCTACATATGAATCTCATGCTGTCTGTACTCCAGGTGAAAGAAATTACAGTGTAAGATAATTTATATTATTTCTCTGCTATTTCTGTGATTGGACAATTGTCCTCCTACTAGTAGCAGCCCGTTATGACACCTTCATCCTATCAGCTACTGTGTAGGGCCAAGTTTGGATTTTAATAGTTGTTGCAACTTTTAGATGGTGTGTTATTAGTCAACAGGTATTTCAGCAGTTTTTAGTTAGCTAGCTTTAAAACATACCTAAGCATAAACTGAAAGACAAATATGGGATGTTGTGCAACACATTTGCCACTAGGCACATTAAAGAACTTGAATCCTGTATGATAAAAAAAGCCACAAAAGACCAAACTTGAAATCTGAATGAAGGACTGTTAGAAGAAGGGCTTTATTATTAATATTGGTTTATTTTTTGTTTTGGTTTGTTTGTTTGTTTTGTTGTATTTTGTGGGTTTTTTTTATTTTAATGGTAAGGAAATAATTCTTCTATAGAACTCTGCTGTGTTTTATACATCTTGCCATAAGTGAGCAAGACTTTCAGGAACTTGTTAGAATCAAACAAAATAATGAAAAGATACAAATAAATTTGGGGGGGAGGGGGAAATAGTGAAAGCCTAGTTTTCAGCAACAATAGATCAGTTTGGTCTTCCCATTCATATCCTGGACATTAGTAGTACTGTGAGGTAAGGAATAGTTCTATGTTTTTGGGGTTTTTTTTTTTTTTTATTTTCTTCAGAGGTCCCAGACTTTCTCACAGACACAATTTTCATGCTTTTAGTTCAGGTGCTTTAAAGGTTCCAGAAATAAACTTCAATTTGCTTAGCAGAGCTTTGTAAATTGTCAAATACCTGCAGAATATAGTGTGAGAGTGCTGACACAGAGATTGCAGCTTCTCTAGTTGGTCTTACTGGAGAATGGAGAGAAAGAAATCCTGATTTTTACTTCTAATTTGTACATACTTCTTTGACAAGTTGCTTGCGATATAGATACGTAGGACTAAGAGTTTGAGCCTTCTCCCTGAAAGCTCAAGTGGCTGGAGGTAGGGAAATATTTGTGAAAATACACTCGTTTCTGTGGGCATCAAGTTTTGGTCACCATTGAAGATGATTGAGCTCTAATGGTCCTTGAACTGATTCTGTATGGACACTCTTTAATTATTAATGAGTAAAATAATGTGTATGCAAGCCTGAAAATGTACATACATTGTACATCCGCCATGCTAAAAGCATGGAAGGTTGCAGTAAAGCTACCATGACAAATACTTATAAATTAGATAATGTAAAAAATAAATCCAGAAACCTGTTTAAGAAATGTAAAGTCATTTTCTGCTTCTTAGAAGCCTGGCAGCCTTGCAGCCTTTAATGTTTGGGGTTTTTTTCCATGTTATTTCAGATGAATGTTCACTTAACAATGGTGGATGTAGCCATCAATGTTCTGTGGTTCCTGGAGGAAGAATTGCGTGCTCCTGCCCTACAGGATTCAGTCTTAGTGTAGACAACAAAACTTGTGAGATCGTGGATTACTGTACCAAGCACCTTAAGTGTAGTCAAGTATGCGAACAGCATAAAAATACTGTCAAGTGCTCCTGTTATGAAGGCTGGAAACTCAGTAAGGATGGAGAAAACTGTGTTAGTACTGGTGAGTTGAAATGTAATGTATTTTTAATATTCTAGATGTTAATAGCTGTTCTGTCTCTTTAGTGAGAGGTTATTTCATTTTTTTAAGAAATACAGGCTTGGATTATCCAAATGCATGGCTGACAGCAACCTGAAGAACTCATTAAAGCTGTCACTATTCTTGATGCAAGATGAAGTGGTATTGCAATAGAAGTCTTCTAAGAATGTTAATATCAAATAATTCCTAAGTTGTTTGAGGTTTTATTGTTTTTCATGTATATTTAATACACAGGGAATATATATACTTGTGGGATTGAGTGCGCCCTCAGCAAGTTT